CGCGGAATATTACTAAATGACAGGTGAGTTGACCAGTTCCCTTTGATTCATTTGCTTGTGTTGACTCTTTCATTTACGAAAAGTGTGCTGATTTTGGGCGGAATGCAATAAATAATGGAAAAGCTGACAGGATCTCCTTTCTAAATTTAGCTTTTCCGCTGCCGAGGCCTCCTTTTACGGAATACTCAATGACAGGTGATCTCTGAGTTGACCAGTTTCCTTCGATTCATTTGCTTATGCTCACCCTTTCATTTACGGAAACGTGTGCTGATTTTATTCGGATTTAGATCCATTTTTATCTCTTTGCCCTTGCCTACAGTGTGCGAAAAACGCGAGTTCACCTTCTTGACGGTAAGGCTTATGTTGCTGCTGAGGCTTAGATGTGTTGTCGAAATACTCGTGTTCATTGTACATTGGTACGTTACAAGTAAGGCACTGGTCAGTGGCATACTATCGCTGGCAGTTCCCAATCTGGAGGGAAAGGTTCAAGGACCCATTGACCGAGTATGCAAAATAAATTCGCATATCAGGGAAAATCTCCATTATGGAGAGGTTCAGTGACTTGTTTGCTTCATACGAAACAAACCAATGGGTGCAGTCTCGTCTCGTGAAAATCTCGTACTTGTATGATTGGATTTGTTTACTCGAGTCTGGGCTGTTTGATTTGTGAGTACCGCCGAGATTGCACTGCCCCAAATAAAGTTGCGTGCCGCCAAAGCAAAAATTACGATCTGCAATCTGTTTGTAGTACCTGCAAGAATGTGCAGAACATGTATCGTACTTTCTCTGTTGCTGTTTCAGTTGCCGTCATGTTGCTAAAGAAAGGTTCAGTGACTCATTTGTTTCATACGAGACGAGTCGGTGTGGCTTAGAATCTTTCGCTGTAGAAAAAAATCTATTCGTATGTCTATTGGAGAAATGTATTCACTGGTTATAAAATAGGTTGACTAACTCACAGAATAAATACCATCGGTCCCTTGGTGTTCGTGCTAAAGAGGTTCAACTGGATATCATTCATACTCACGGCAAAAGATATGTAACATTTTATTATCACATGGCACGTGATTGTTGCCCGTACTCCAGCGAATCAGCACCTTTCGCGCCGCGGGCAATAATATGCGATATTGCCCGCAAAAAAATAGTTTATTTGCCCGCAAAAAAATAGTTTATTTCAGTGATCGCGTGACTACGAAGACTGTAGACTCTACGACTCTACGACGAGTCGCAGTGTAGCATTGAGAAGATGGAATTCTTTTTGGAGATGGACATCCCGGCAATGGACATGGCCTCGGACGTCTGCCGTGTGGTGCTTGCAGGGATCATTTGTTCTGTCATGTTGGCAGCCTGACCGTCGTTAAGCTTGTGGATAAGATTCAGTTCTGCTCGAAGTGGTACTGTGATCACAAACAATTATTTGAAATAACACAAATTCAACTCAGCGTCGTGCGTTTTCAGATCCTCGCAAAGTCACTGCCTGTGTGTGGTCTTCATGTGCCACGCAAAACTCTTACCAGGCTCATATGTCCTCTGCCTTCACCTTTGCTTGAACAACAAACACAACAATTCAGGAATGTTTTGCAATGAAAAACACAGCTATCTGGAGCTGAAAAAAAGAAGAAAAATTGTCCTCAGAATTGCACACCAGGGAGTCGTCAAATGCTTGCACTTGTTGCAGTACTGTATTTGACAACTTCCTGATACACATGTAAACATGAAGAAACTCTTTGTGGTAGCACTCTTAATTTTTCAACTGAAATTATGATTCTGCTGTATTTTATTGTCGTTGCGATGTCTATTGCTATGACGATGCGGTGCCGGCACTTTTTTCTGTCTCCGTCTTTCAGTGCTGTATACTCTCTGATGGCCTGTAGCAGACTTTTGTTAGGGTGTAGGAGAAATATCTTCATTTTTCCTGTTTTGATAATGATAGCACATCAATATACATTGTGGTCATAATGTGTTGGCATTTGGGCTAATTTCAACAGCAGCCCAATGGTCTGCTCTGTGGGCCATGTGATAAATTTGTTATCGCATGGTTGCTGCAGGCCTTATGGCATATTATTGCCCCTCGAGGTTAGCCCTCGGGCTAACCTCTCGGGGCAATAATATGCCATAAGGCCCTTGCAACCATGCGATAACATATACTTATTATGGAGTGCATTGTTTATCTCTCAGTACCTCCAGAGTAGCCTGTAAGAAGGCCTTAGGCCTGCGGGGATTGCCCTATCGAAAATTTGACAATTTGATAATAATGACCTCCGACCTCCAATGGCCTTGCCCCTTTTATCTTCAGGATCAGTGTAGTTGTTGGAACGAGGTGCCGGACTTAACAATGTATTTGTTTACATTTTTATACATGTTTATTGTTCCTCCTTTGCTGTGTTGTTTTAGAAAATCGTGGTCTAACGGTTTGAAGTCATTGAACTACTTCTAAAAGTTGTATCGACATCAACAGGATTACGATTCCAGTGCAATATGATGCAGGATGACCTTATCATGATAACCCATGATTATAAACAATTATAAACACAGAATCAACAAAAACATCTGCGACACGCAACTGGCTATATTTCTCAAGTAAATCTGATCGAGGGTGGGGAAATCTGAAATATCTGAAAGGCAAGACAATTTTATGACAGTCAAGAAATTCTGCAACAGCAACATGCACAGAATGACCTAGTACCTGCGTATAAAAAAAGTATCATCACCACGAACCACATGTTTCCCCAGCAGAAGAACATGCATTATGCTAGTGCCATTTTCTGCAAGAAAAGGCTTGCACATCAATGCGTATAATACGGTATTGGTATGATGTGAAGGCCATCATTTACATAATATTATAGGGCATTCCATTGATTGGTGACAGAAAAAACAAAAGAAATTATAGCAATAAAAACTGCTTTATGGCAGTTTTCTAAAAAAAGTTATTGTGTTCTAGTCCTGGGTCCGGCATAGGCTATAGAAAATTTATAAAATTGCTTCCAAACTGGCTTGGACTCCGTTTAAAAAGTAAGAAATTAACGAAATGTGATTGCCGAAAATTAAAATTTCACACAAAACCTCACAATAATCACACACAGGATGAAAAGCTAGAAGACCTTTTCCCTTCGTGATCCTCTTTCCCGTGCATGCATGCATGTTGGTGCAGTACAAGTACAAGACTTAGTACAGTGTCAGACTAAACAAGTGCTGAAAGCAGTATTTGATTGTCAAGTGTTGTGATTATTGTGAGGTTTTGTGTGGAATTTTAATTTTCGGCAATCACATTTCGTTAATTTCTTACTTTTTAAACGGAGTCCAAGCCAGTTTGGAAGCAATTTTATAAATTTTCTATAGCCTATGCCGGACCCAGGACTAGAACACAATAACTTTTTTTAGAAAGCTGCCATAAAGCAGTTTTTATTGCTATAATATGCATTGTGGCCAGCCGTCTTTGATGGCACGGTACGGTAGGGGATAGGTACTGCACAGGTACGATCGAGGGTAATACGACAAGGTCTAGCTGCCCGCAATATTCAAATAGGGCTTTCAAACGCAAGATAATAACGTGAAGCAACTTGGAAGAATGGATATGAATGCGAAGTGTATGGGGGAATGCATTTACGGCGATAGTGCGGGTTCGAATCCCAGGATATGCCTAAAAAAATTGAAAAATTGATAACATCCTATGCTTTTTTGCCGTCAGATACGGATAGCGCCAGGCGTGACACAAACAAACAAACAAACACACAAACAAACAAATACCAAATTAAAGCTGTGTGGACCCTGGCTAGCGCCAGACGTTACTGAAGTAACGTCTTCTGCATAGCTACGGGAATAAATGCTTCATCTATTCTTGCTGCAATAAATAATATGATGGCGAAACGAGCAAAACAACCAGTAGGACCATTGATTCTGGCATTACTATTAGAATTTCTAACAAGGACCAGAACCGTATCGATGGTAATCACAGTCCCAAAAATTAGATTTTTTCAAGACCAAGTTGATGGCTCCGAAACATGCATTTTTAATGTTCGCTACTGACTGGCTCCATTGTAAAGTTTTCCGGAGAATGTTTTGAATTGGAAATCGTGAACATGCCACCCTGCTTCACATATCCAACCGGGGATGTGGCTGTCATGGGGTTTCTTCATTGTTGGTTCAGAGAAGTACCTAAAATCCTGGCCTGCGTCCGCAAGAACATGGAGACACTCGATGACATGCCGCAGTTTCCCTCCACATAAGGAATCATCGGAAAACTAATAGTCCTGTCGTTTTTTTACTGGGGTTGGCGAGTGTCCTGACAAGGGGTTGCTCACCAATACCATACATCATCATTGCCAAGGGCAGTCTCGCTTGGTTCCCTCACGACTGTGCAGGACATGGATGGAGTTGGCGCCTGCCCCACGAAGCACAACGACCGGAAACCGACGAAATAAGTCAAACAGAAACGCTGAACGCCTAGGCTAAAGCACACGACAGTTCCATAAGGTGGCAGTTCGACTAACAGAGTTGAAGTCGTTAAGGGAATCAGCGAGGAGGTGGGACACTGTTTCGGGATCATCGAAGACATCCTTCATCGCATGGACTGCCGACACTGTTACATGACTGTACTATGGTACAAAAACGTACAACAGGCAACTCTTGAACTTTTGTACTACTTTCCTGTAGAATAGGTCCAAATCGTAGGCCAAATCGCTTGTGGCATCGCAGACGTAGTCGTTGAACCAAGCTAAACTACATGAACTTTACTTTGGAGATGGCACAGTTGCCGGTGTTGCGTGGGCGGTTAGATGCCCAGTTGAGCTACATGACAATCATGATGCATGCACTCGAGCAGGAAACGCGTAGGGACCTCTTGTCTTCTCCCAGACGATGAATGCTCACCACTAACTGCATTGTACTTACACAAATGCAAGTGGTACTTTGATGACACAGTCCTGGAAAATAACTCTACTATGATATACCAGTTAGCCAGAGCTGTACAGCTTTCGAACAGACAGTAGACTCTTTGCAAAGCAGCCGATCAGATCCGTTTTTCTTCCTCCAAGTACAGCAGAAACTTGCGTACCTACCCGATATCACCAGTTACCAACTTCCCTTCCGCTCAGTTAGGTAAGCGTGTAGGATGTAGACGCAATAGAATCTCTATCTTTAGTTCATGTTGTGCTTATTGAAAAAATGTTGATTTACTTTCTTCAAAACACAGTCAGCGACACTCTGCGCTGCTTCCTCCGTGAGGGCTTGCTCTTTTCTGGCCGACATGGGTTCTCATTTGACTAAATCGAGACTGCCAGACAGTGCCTAAGAGAAATCCACTGAGAATGCAACACTGCAAGCCTGCACGGATGCACAAATCATTTCGGAAATTAGTGTAATGTGAAGTCAAGGCAGCAGGAAAGCGGGAGGTTCAGTGAGGAGCAAGGAGTTTTCAGCTTGAAACTACTGACTGTCGTTTTTATGCTTTCTTATTCCCTTTTCTGCTGATTTTATGAAAATGTATGGAATGGCAGCCACTAAGGTGAAATGTTTTAGCTGGAGTATAAAAGTTCCAAGATTTTCCACTCTTGGCTTTACATGTAGTTATCGTGAGGTAGTCTGATCAAATGTTCTTAAGGTGTGCAGGAATGAACTCGGATGGAGAGCTTGTAAAGCCTTGGCCTTCTCTCTTTGTATAAATGATATTAATTAAAATGAAAAATATACTTGTGACTTGCTGGTTTTTGTATTCGTTCTGTAAGCATTATTGTGTTGCATTATGTTTGCAATTTTGTGTTCTTGTTGGTAGCAGGTAGATAGCCCCATAGATCAAGTATCGGACAACTAGAACTATAGGCCTACCCTGACAATGGATGTCCCTGAATCAGTAGCGAATGGACTGGAAAGTGTAAAGTTTGATGTGTGGCAAGACATCTTGTTGACAATGTTGTCTATTCAAGACATATTTCAGCTCTGTGGTGTAAGCAAATCCATGCAACGGTTGCTGCTGAATGAGTACACGTTCAGACGACTTTGTGTGGTGAGTAATAATGCATTATTCCTGTTTTGGTGTGTGTATTAATTTATGTGCGTATGTGAGTGAGTGGAGGTGTGAATTGCATGTAAACAGTAGGAAGAATAACGCTATAAAGCCCGACATACAGGATTCTCATACAAAAATATCCATCTTTACTCTACTTTGCTTGAACTTGTAATCTCTGGTCTGTATATCACTTGACGAAAAGGCACGACATTTTGTTCGTGAACCCCATTTCATAAGGGTGTTGCCGAGCCTGCAGTTTGTGCTACTACTCCAAAGTATACATTTACCTTTTCATCTAAAAAAAAGTCACGGTTCGCGTGAGACTCGACCTGAAGCCGAGCTTTCCGCATCCGTAGGAACGCCACTATCCTTCAAAGATCAAGGCGCAGATGCAGCACCTATTTTGGAGGAAAGTGAGTAGATCAGCTCACCAGAATGTGGTCAAAGACCGCAAAAATCCCATTCACTGGATCCATGCTTTCCTAGGAATCCTCTAAAACATTAACGTGAAAGTTTACATTGTCTTTTTTGTCCCGTCCATGCAGCAACGCTATCATCTCAGTCCACATTTGAAAGTGCCATATATTCGAGTTGCAAAAATTATGTTTATCGCTCACAAAGTAGCCAGTATTGCCTTCAACGTCGATGAAAGGATATTTAATACAGACAATACTTTTAAATTGATGGTGAAAATGTTTGTCCGAATATTGAGCCTGGCGTTGAAGCCATTCGCCTTTGCTAGCCTCAGACCGAGCTGGACAAATGCTGCTTTACTTTATCCACTTGTTGAAGGGAGTAGCTTGTACTCTCTGGCGGCTTCTCTGTTCTTACCGAACATTTCTTCAAATAAACTCCTGAACAGATGCACGCCTATCAATCCAGAGAGACCGGTAGGCAGAACGAAGTACCGGCTAAAAGATGTAACGGATGTATTGCTCGAAGATTGTGGTTCGCTGGAACAGTACCAAGAGGCCATCATCACCAATTTGGACGAAGATATCCACAAACTGGAGGAATACATGCCGTCTGCGAATCGATCATCGAGGCTTGTTGGGCTTGCAAATGGACTTCACAGCTTGGCCACGATCGAAACAAGAATATGTTCATACCTGGAATTTGATCGCTTTAATCACTCTGCATTCTTTCCTTTGGCATGGACGTATAATCCTTATTTGCAATGGGCTTTTGTACATGATATTAATCACAAATTGGATACTTCCAACCCAGTGATTGTTACTGATGAATGGATTGACATGTTTTCAGAAGTCACAATCAATCATTCCGTTCTCACCCTTCTGATAACGCGAAAACTACGCACTTCTCAGGCAGACGATTACTTCACAGCTATGATAGAGTACGAAGACGGATTGAGATGTTTGCCGCAGTCCAGACGCCCCAATCGTCACGACTTATACCTAGGCTTGGGAGACTTTCTCCTTTCGTCGTCACAAGGACAGCAAAATCATATTGAATGGACGAAAGCGGAATTGGTCGAAGCTATGGTGCGATATGGCAATGAACTACTCTAGGCAAGCAGCTACCCGGCCGTGGAGTACGAAGAGCTGAGATATATCCTCACCAGCTCATTTGCATTATTCACAACATATCTTTCATACCCAAGTAGTATCAATGTCTACCTCTATTTGTGAACAATGCTCACCTTTGGTTCTGCCCAATTTCCTCTTACTTAGTTTGACGTCATTAATATCGAGTTAAGAACCTTACAATTTTATATTGTTTCCATGCGCTCTATTATTATGTGTGCATATGAAGTTTAACATGTGCGTATTTTACCTACTGAACAGCTAACGCTTGTCATAAATGCGATATTGATTTTGACTGTATTACCCCGTCCCTCACAAAAATCAGACAACAAAGAGGCATCTTTGGATCATTGATAAACACTAGTTTCGAAATAACTGGTTTGAAGCACAAAGTTGAGCTGAGGTTAGCTCAACGGGGAGGTGCAGTGATAATTATAGGTTAGTGCATGTCAGGGAGGGCCTTATGGCTTGTTAGTGCCCGACAGGTTAGCCCGAGGGCCGTAGGCCCGAGGGCTAACCTGAAGGGCACAAACAAGCCATAAGACTCTCCCTGCCATGCACTAACTATTTTAGAACGAGGTTACATGCATTATCTCACTTCCATTATACTTGTGTACCACTATATTGGGTAGTTTTGTGGTTTGTGTGCAGAGAGACTTGGTGTGGTATGAAAGAATATTTTCTTCTGGTAAGTTATGGTAACTCAGCACCACTTAGGACTACTAAAAGTAGAATGGAAGCAAATGAAATGCTGGGCTCTTATTGCGAGCTTCATTCTTATTCATATACATGTATGTAGCTTGTGGAGCTATTTAGGGGCTTTGAGAGCCCCTTGTCGATAACTGTAATGACTTTGATCCTCGCTTTTTATAGGTTTACGCAAGCTGTTGACAAAGAAAATTCGTACAGATGAAAGAATACGGGAGGCAAAAACCGTACACACTTCTGAATTGCGTAGCTTTTAGTAGTACACCGTACACGTTATGCAGAGTTCATTATCTGCACCGTACTATTATGCATACAGGGAGTTGTACGCACCAGTTTAGAGTATATTCAGCGGGCTTTAAACTAATCCAAGGCTCTCGACGCGTCATCAAGAGTAGTAAAATAACGATTGAGCGGGCTTTAAACTCTGATAAGGCCCTTGGCGGGAATGTCGCTGATTGGTCGTTTCCTGGACAACGAGACAGACCTCGTTCTAAACGTTTAAAAAAAAGAGAAACAGTGACATGCCCCCCCCCCCCCACACACACACGGACAGTATGTATAGGCATAACGAACGGTCTTTTCCTGTTAGCTCTGTTTGTCCAATACATGAGATAAAACGTCTTTCTTGTTGTTTTTCATTCTCCATGTAGCTGCTTTCACCCATTGGCTTGTTTCGTATGAAGCAAACAAGTTACTGATCCTCTCCACAATGGAAATTTTCCCTCATATTCGAATATATTTTGCAAACTCGGTCAATGGGTCCTTGAACCTTTCCCCCCAGATTGGGAACTGCCAACGATAGTATGCCACTGACCAGTGCCTTACTTGTAACGTACCAATGTACAATGAATATGAGTGTAGCGGGCCGCAGTCTCTCCGCGGCAAGAACGCACAAGGGTCTCAGTGAACACATTGTAATCGGCAATTGAAATGTACTGGCAACGAAATTAACTGAATGGCAACTAAATTAACTAACAGGCAACTAAATTAACTGACTGGCTATAAACGAATCGTGAGCAGTGGCTTTAATGCACAGGCAAACTCCGTACGCTAATGTACGGGGATACGCTAACGTATGGGGATACAGTACGGGGATATGCTAACGTACGGGAATACAGTAACGTACGGGGATATGCTAACGTATGGGGATACGCTATACGCTACATGAGTAGTTCGACAACACATCTAACATAAGCCTTACCGTCAAGAAGGTGAACTCGCGTTCTTCGCACACTGTAGACAAGGGCAAAGAGATAAAAATGGATCTAAATCCGAATAAAATCAGCACACGTTTCCGTAAATGAAAGGGTGAGCATAAGCAAATGAATCGAAGGAAACAAAGAGATCCTGTCAGCTTTTCCATTATTAATTTTATTGCATTCCGCCCAAAATCAGCACACTTTTCGTAAATGAAAGAGTCAACAGAAGCAAATGAATCAAAGGGAACTGGTCAATTTACCTGTCATTGAGTAATATTCCGCGAAAGGAGGTCTCAGCAGCGCCGAAACGAAATAAGCCAGGCCAGGAGACGAAATATCCGAAGCAGCTCATACAAGAAGCAGTTCCAAAGAAGGAAGTTCCTCGCGCATGCACATCCGAACGTCCGAACACGGACTGCACTGCAACACAATGTCGGCCGTGCACGTGCACCGCACGTGGCTACCAGCCGTTGGTAGATCTAATACCGAGCACCTTACGTAGAGACTTACGTAGCCTAAGTGAAATACCGAGCACCTTACGTAGAAACTTACGTAGCATAGCGGTGTCGTTTTTCTTGCCATGTGAACACCATAATAGAAAAGCTGACAGGATCGCTTTTCTAAATAACGTGAAGCAACTTGAAAGAATGAGTATGAATGCGAAGTGTATGGGGGAATGCATGCTGGTGCTACAGTGCGGGTTCGAATCCCAGGTAATGCCTGAAAAAAAGTAGGAAAATTGAAACATTTATAACATCCCAATTCTTTTTTTGGCGTCATCAAGGCGGTAGATGGTGTCGTATTACCCTCGACCGTACCTGTTCCGTGCCTGTTCCGTACCTATCTGCTGTATGGCAGCTTCCGAGACAGCGAAACCATTTATTGCACTGAGAAAAATAATAAGGCAACCATTTTGATAGTCCAGGGGATGGCCCACGCCTGGTAAAAAGAATAAAATAGAAAAGAATCATAACAAGTACATGAATATTCCTCTAGACAAAAATGTACATGGCTAGACTTTAGTTCAACGGTCCTGCAAGGAAACACGTGCCTCGGCTACTACTACTACAGAGTTCCTGGTGACACGGTGTGCGGATGAGGATCTTGCCCCACGAAGGCACATCACGCTAGCTCGGACTAATGCAAAGCTTAGCTTGGAGCGAAGCCATGTCGTCTTCACGGAGTACGGCTCCTTCAGCTTGTCAGACAGCATGCTTGCAAGACGCTTGAACAGAGCCGATGCACACTTGCTAGTGCCACCAGTGGCTGACAGCACTACTGGTACAAACGTGGCGCGGTCAACGTCAAGCAGACGCTGCTCATACCTCCGGCGTTTCTCCTTTTCATGACGTGCATACACTGAGGAAACTGAGGCAGCGCGAGTTGAGGCAGCATAGGGGTTGAAAACCCTTAAATCAAGAAAAGTGCGCTCAAATCGGCCACCCCAGATTCCGTTTGCGGCAACATCAAGACGAGCCTGATCAGCGGTCGTTGTGGACAGAAGCCAGAATTTCTCTCCGGCGACTGGCTGCAGCATCGGTTCTGTGCATACACCGTGCGTGACCTGACGCAGAACAACAGCCGTGAGGTGTCCCGTACCTGTCTCGTACCGGTCCCGTACATGTCCCGTACCGTACCGTATTATCAAAGACGGCTGGCCACAATGCATATTCAAATAGGGCTTTCAAATACAAGATCATAACGTTTGGTTTGGTTTGGTTTTTATTATTTTAGTTCGTTGCCTCAACAGTACAAAGTACAAATATCAAGGGGGACGAACGAAAAGAGAAAATAAAACAGAGCAGAAAGGAAGATGCAACTGAAAGGAAAGAAAAACTGAGAGAAACGGAGAAGGAATGTGGACTGGGCGGATTCATGAACCATTACTAGAGAGAAACGGAGAAGGAATGTGGACTGGGCGGATTCATGAACCATTACTAGAGAGAAACGGAGAAGGAATGTGGACTGGGCGGATTCATGAACCATCCCTGCTTTCTGTACAAGCTGCACTTTGTGGAGGGTCCGGAAATGGTGAAAGCCATTCTGCCACCATCAGCAGCCGCACCGCAATGCCGCATGTCTACTCGTGAGACAACCAGATCTGCAACACATCATCCATCGCAACTCACCAGTATTCTTCATCCAGAGGCACGAAACAACACCCTCCGCTCATTTCCCCACTCCCTCATCGCAACTTGGAATCAGCTCCCACCTACCCTTCTGGAATCTCCCCCTTCTCGCAGAGGTATGCACACGTTCGAGAAAAACGACAACGACCACTAGCAGAGCAACATGTACATGTAGTACCCTATTAAAACTTTTCCTGCGGATGACGTGTTTACACGCCGTGAAACCCCTACCTGATTATGCGATGACGTGTTTACACCCACTTCAGTTTAAGCCTAGTTCACATTCGACGGGGCGCGATGGGACGCGACGTAAGGATCGACGGGAAGCGACGGGATGTTCTGACGGCGTCCAATGTGAACACCAGGAACGGGAACGCAACCGTACTACCGTACAGATCGGGAAGCGACGGGAAGAGTTGGATCGATCCAACTTTTCATACCGTAGACGGGCGTAGAAGGGGATGGAAGCGTACAAAACGGCTGCAATTCGAGTGTGAACAGGAGACGGCGTCAGGCGCCGACTGCTCCCGATTCGTACTTGGAAATTTTTAGCATTTCGAACACTGCGCTTCCCATGATAACTCACAGAATGCCTAGCACGACTTGAGTTGAATTTTAGCAACATAAGATCTCATGTCACTTATTGTATTTAGGGATAGTTCAGAAGCGTGACAGACGAACTATTCTATCATTTCCTGGGGCTATTATTTGAATGCCACAACTTTGAGGGCTAATTTTTTGGTCTTCACGAAAAACTGGTATTGTGAACTTGATTCCGCTTCTTTCAAGGAGAAATAATTGAAAAGAAGTCCCGAAAAACGAGAAATTAGGTCCAAAAGTCACCCCCTCACGGACCGTGCCTTATGACTCGCGCCGTTCGACGGTGAACGTCGCAACGATTGCTGCATGTCTTGTCGTACGAATCGTACAGGATTTTACAGCTCACCCCAGCCCTCCCGACAAGCCCTTACGTCCCGTACCGTCGGCGTTGCGTCGAATGTGAACTAGGCTTTACAATGTGTTCATCATGATGACCATTGGACAGACTTCCGTGTCATGGTGAACTACTCTTCAATCCCAGCAAACGATACACCGTTGGAAACAAACGAAGAAACCTGCAATTAGGAAGAGTCGACGAGGAAAGGCAGACTAGAATTTCTTGATGTATTCGAAAAATCTCCATCATTCCCTGTATTAACCCGGAAGAGAAGGGAACGATAAAAGGTAGTGGCTTCTTGATCGTTTGAACTTTTTAAACATTGCATACGAAGGTGGAGAACGCGAACTTAGCCGACGG